GAGGTTGGTCCCACACGATCTCATTGTTCAGCCGCACGGGAACCCGGAAGACCACGCTGATGGGAAGGCTCCTCTTGCCCAGGTTGCTGAACTAGACCAGGGAAGGGTGGAGAGTCGGGACTTCAACGGCACTGCCCCCGCCAGCTGCAGGACTTGGCTTCCCCAGCCCCTACAGCCTAGGACAGCAGGGAAAGGGCCATGGCCCGCCCCTTTCGAGGAGGCGTGAGAGTGTACCCGTTCAGCACATTTCCCCTTTACTGTCTGTGAGAACGTGGACGTGCTTTGTCCTCTCCAAACCCCACTGTACCCCTCTGTAAACCGAAGAGAGCAACAGTGAGGACAAGAAGAGCTCACTGTGTGTGAGTGTGAGAAGAGTCCCCCGCTGCCCCTCTCCCTCCTCCCCTGCCCTCTGCCACGCCAGGCACACAGCAGGAACCTTTCTCACATTTTCTATCATCAGTTCCCGCTTCCCTCGCTCCCCACCTGATACTGGTGCTCCACAGCCTGACTGGTCTTCTCTGAAGCTGTGAAGTTGAGGTATTTGGTAGAGGTCTCACCACTAAAGGGAGGAGGACGAGACAGGAGACAGAAGAGGGGCACCGTGGGAGGGGCTCTCAGGCTGTGTGAGGAGCGCACAGGCTCATGGGTAATGCAGCCCTGAGGGGAGGGGTGTGCAGGGGTGAGGCAGGTGGTACACAGAGCGTGCCAGCTTGAGCCGCTCACACCCACACCACACACACGTGCACACAGGTCCACGTACACACAAGCACAGGCACATTCTCATAAACAGGGATACAGAAGTGCAGCAGCTCTATGCCCAGCTCAGTCCTGCGGCCAGCACCTGGAGACTATCAAGTAGACGGCGTATTTCACAGGCAGCTCCAGCTGGAATTCGGTTTTGTTCGTCCTGGGTATGTTGTTCTCACTGAAAGGAAAGAGAGATCTTAGCCAGTGCTCAGAAACTGGAAACCAGCTTTTTCTTCTTCTCCCTCTCCATCACTCACTACTTCCAGTTAGTCACCAAGCCCTGTTCTCTAGAGAACAGTGTGATCACTGTTCTCTAACTCCTCGCCCCTACACGGCCCAGATCCAGTTCTGCTAACTGGGACAGCTACAGCAACCTTCCACTTGGTCCTGTGACTTCAGAACTGCTCCATCCCCGTTCCCAGTCATGATGGTTTAGATCTGGATGCCCCACAAAGCCTTAAGTTTGGAGGCGCAGCTGGTGGAAGGTGGATCATGGGGTGCTGCGCTCATTGCTGGACTGATCCATGAAGTGTTCAGAGCTAGCTGCACTGTTGGGAGGCGGGGCCCGGTCGGAGGTCACGGCACGGCCTGGAGGGGTGTGTCTCCCTCCTGGGTTCCTCTCCCGTCTGCTTCCTGACTGGCGTGATGTGAGCCGCTTTCCCCCAGGGCAGGCCCTTCCACCACACTG